TAAACAAAATCAATCAAGTAATTTAACTTTTGTTAATTTTTGTTATGTTAACCCGATCACATTTACTTCAGAAGCAAATGATCACAAAAGTAAATTGATAACCAAAGTTGATTTAACTCTTGTTAATCATTCAAATGATCGCAGAAATTTTCTCACCACTAAAGTGATTGCAAATTGTTTTCATAAGTCATCATCTTTCTTAAGAAAACAGAGAAAAGGAGATCTCACTTTTATCTTCCAATTATCTTCTTTACTTAACCAGTTCAAAGTCATCTTTGGTCAACTTAACATCACTCAAGTGTTTCAATTGTTTCAACTTTTTGCTCAATTTTTCAATTATCTTCATCAAATCTCACCAATTTATTTGTTCAAATCTCATCACCAAAATTATTCATATTTCAGTGAATTCATTTTACTCGTAAAGTTTTACTTTTGTAAAGGTGAAAAGTGATTGATTCAACTAAAATTATGGAACCAACAAAATCTCCAAATTCAACTGATTCTGTTACGAAAAAGTTAACAACTTTGATTTTTCGTATTGATGAAGATGGTAATGAAGTTCCTGTTCCTGATCCAGTTACTCAATTAACTGAAGCTTCTGATAATCGTGGTGAAAATCCAAGTGAAGATAATGATGTTATCTTAATTCCTAATGAATCATGGAAAGATTTTGCACCTATTGGTTATAAATTAGTTCCAATTGTTGTTCCAAGAAAATCTGTTCCAACAAGTGAACCAATGGAAGCTGAGATTAAATCATCTCAACGATCTCCAACTTCTTCTCTTGATTCTGTCTTCAAAGACTTTACTTTGGATTCTTCTCAATCATCATCTTCAGATGAAATCGATATCTCGATTGATCCAAGTTATGTTGAGCCTCCGACAAATAAACGTCGATTTTTTCCTTCGGCTCCAAAACAACCGCTTGAATCTTTTAGATTAGAAGATGAATACTTGGCTTATGAGAATCGAAAAAGACAAAGTTCACCACCAACCGAAAGGTATGGAAAAAGAAGATCATCTTCTTCATCATCAACTTCTACCCAAACAAAAGAACAGTTTTCATCTCAAAGTCGAGTCGATAGACAAACTCAACACCCTATTAATCCTGTTCCTTTGGATTTCGATCCATATGCACCTTCAACTTCATCCGGAATTTATGTACCAAGATATCAATCGAAACCAGTTTCGAGTAATCGATCTAATGACAAAAATAAGTCGATGGATAATCTTGTTACTGCACAAACTTATCGGTCATCAATGAACAATGAAGTTCAACAACTACAAGTTGAATTGAAAATGACCACTTCTTCACCTAATCACCATCGTGGTTATGACCAAGAAAGTAAAAATCAACCTAAAGGTAATAAATATCGATATCCACCTCCTCCATCTATGTCGAATACTTTTCGTCATGAAAGACCTTGTCCTTACCCTGGACCGAAAGATTATCCATGGCCTCCGAACATGTTTCCAGCTCCTATTCCCACTGATGTGAGACCAGATTATATGTCAAAGGAAAAGTTTTTCGAGGTTCGAGCTGAAGCAGAAAAAGAAGCTCTCAAGTTAAAAGAGAAAAAGATTAAATATTGTCGACTAATCTTAGAAAAGATTTATCATAATCTCATTTCTTCACCTGAAGTTTACAAGATAAAAACTGATAATATTCCTAAAGGATTACCTTTATCAAAGGTCATTCTTGAAGAGATTCATGAACTTTTACCAACTATAAGTTGTAACCTTTGTGAGCATATATCAATCGAACCAATAATTTGTTCCTCATGTAATCAATGGTATTGTTCTCAATGTGTTTTCTGGTTAAGACAAACTATTGTTACTCTTGGTTTTTCTCCCCCTGATCATCAAACTAAAGCTGCTTGCATTACAATCAATTGTATTGTAAAATTTGTTCCAAAAAATGATTATCCAAAATTCACTAAAGTGCCTTCATCATCTTCATTGGAACGATACAATTCAGCTTTACTAATCTGTCGTCGTAATTGTTGTGGTGAACAATTGAAAACTACTGAGTTTCTCAAACATGAATCAAGTTGTAGACGAGGATTAATCGATGAAGAATACGAGTTCAATCTCAAAGATAAATTCAAATATGGAGAAACAATCAAAGAGTTTAACAATTTACCAAAATCAATTTCATCATTTTTACCTCCTCATTTGAAAAAAGCTATAGCTTCATCACATGCTCTTCCAAAAAGTCAAACTCATCCAGAGCGATATGAGGAAAAGTTTAAACGTTATGCTTACGTTTTGATTGAACGGGATAATAATCCTAATGATCCTCTTCTTGCTCCTAATTATATTAGAAATTTCATTCCTAATCTTGGAACGAGTTTAACTAATCTTACTTATAGTAGATGGAAAGATCCAGAAGAGCCGATTTATGAAGGAGAAGAATGGGTTGAAAGCTTGGGCTTCGATCCAATTTATGGTAAAAAACCGAAACCAGATGATTTCATCAAACCCCGAACCATTTTTAGTTATTCAGTTCCTGATTATCTCATCAGAGCATCGGCTGAATGGGCTACTCGTGCTTATGGAACACCTAGACCATCACGAACTTATCAAGAGATACCAAGAAAGTATTACGATCCAGGATTACCATTTATCCGTATTGATGTTTTTTCCTTGGTAGAAAATGATACAGCTGAAACTCTCATGAGAATCATTCCTAAAGATTTCCATCAATGAGAGAAATTCAAAGAACAACTAATAACAATTATCGGAAAGAAGATCGTCATCATCATCAACATCATCATCAACGAGCAACTCAGGTTTCGCTCATTTACAAGCAATTAAATACAAGGAATCAATTGAAGTATTTAATAAATTAACTCATATTCAAATTCCAACTCTTCCTGATGATTATGCTGAGAAGATTAAGATCAACACCGAAAAACATGAAAATCCTGATTTGGTCTTTTCTATTAATATGGCTTATGCTGGTGTCTATGAACAATATCAAGTTCAACAAGGACTGAGAGAAAAGACTAGACAACGACCAATTTGGATTGTAATTGTTAATGGTCATCAACAAATCATCTATGAAAGTTTCGTTAGATATTCATCTAATATTCATTTAGAAACTCATCATCATGGTGTTCGTTATAGCGACTTAAAACATGCTAAGAATCTTCAATCAATTCGTGACCAAGTGATTCCTTATCTAGTGATATGTGAACAATTAGTTGGTACTAATCTAATCATGCAACTAACAGCTCTTGGTCTCCAAAAGGATGAAATCGATCTTCTCAGACCTAAGATGAGGGAAATTACCCAATTCTTTTCACCTTATTATGAAACTCCATGCTCATTGAGCTTAATAGCCTTCCTTGTTTTCAAGGGATTCACCATTAAAAGTGGACCACATTCACCCGCTGTTGAAGCAATAGTTTCATGTCAACTTTACATGGCCTTTTGGCAAGAGATTGAAAGAAAATGTGGATTCATTGGTGATGGTATTCATAATAAGAATCAAGATTCAACATGTAACAATCGACGAGTCGCTAGAGTTTTCGATATTTACTCAACAAGAGTTAAAGAAAAGAAAGCCGAATGGCCTAAAAATTGGAATTATTTTACTCACTATGGACCTAAAGGTGAACCTTTTTACGATTATGATAAATGTGCTGTACCAACGGAGGAAAATCCACTTCCACTTCCAGAAGATTTTGGAATTCATGTTAGTGAAGTAGATCCAGGAACAGATGAATGGAATCAAACAAACAATCAAATTATTCCATATAATCGTAACAATGGTGGTCAATCAAATACTCAATTAATTGAACAGAAGAGTAATCTAATCAAAACTGGGGCACTGAAGGGTAGCCTTTAGCTCATCTGATTCAATTATTTTCTTATTTTCTTAATCACAATTAACTGAAACAATTTAATTATTTTCTTAATTCACTTTAATTAACTTTAGTTTAATCACAATTTAACGACAATTAGTTGATTATGGGTTGTGTTTAATCACAAGTTCAATGTATTGACTTCAACCGTTTTTTGACTATTGTCATTTTCTAAGTAAATGGTTAACTAGACTATCGTCGCGACATAACCTTATGGGTTTACCATTTATGGAAGTTGTTTTTGTATAACTAAAGTTACCATTTTCCCAAGGGTTCAAAATGTGAGCTTATCACTAATGAGATAAGACTTTTGCCTTTGACTCAATTAATAATTTCCTTTTGTAAACTGAAGTTAAAAAGTAAGACAAAAATCTTCCTCTTTCTTTTTCTCTTCGAAAAACCAATTTTATCTTCTCTGTCTTTTTCATTATCTTCTCTTTCTTTTTGTCTTTAAAAATTCATGTTGATTGAATTAACAGCAGAGATAAAGTTTTACAATGAAAACGTTAAGATCACTCTAGTGAAATTAATAATTATAATTGTACTTTACTCTCTAAGTTTAATTAGATTCAATTTTCTTGATTTTGTTTTTATCAGTTTTAATTACAATTGTAATTTGATTATATCATTCAACTAAAGTTTCAGTTAACCAATTTCAATTTTCAATAAACTTAATTACATGCTTACTCACATTGTCAGAATCCTGAATTCGAATCTTAATTATAATCTGTGTTGTGGACAGATTGGAATTCTTGATTGTTGTGAACGTTACTTAAGTAAATTCATTTGGAACTTTCAATATTAATCGTTAGATTAATCTTTAATCCTTTCGGATAATCAATAATCATTTCTTACCCTGTGATCTTTAGATCTAATTCAATACGAATTACCTTTGTTTCTCATTCTTATTACTTAAGATTTCCTTTTAATAAGTTTTCTTATTAAATTTTCCTCACAAAATAATTAATCCAAAATCATCATGATAAAAATTAATAGATTTCAATGAGAAATGTTAATCTAAATGTTTAATGTTTTCACAACCGTTAATTGTACAACAAGAAAAGCTAATTGTTAAAGATTAGAACTAACTAACTAATTAATTGTTTACAATTATCTTTTCTAATTAAAAAGGTTTCCTGGGTTCGTCAAAAGGATCTACATATTATCTCCGCTGGACCTTACATATATACTTCAGATCAACGGTTCGAGCCGAAGCACGTTGAGAATACCGATGAATGGTATCTCCATATAAAGTATATCCAAACAGAGGACACTGGTACCTACGAATGTCAGATCAGCACGGAGCCGAAAAAAAGTTTACCCTTTTACCTTAGTGTTATTGGTAAGTTAATCGTTTCGAGTTGTATCAATTTTTCAAGTTCCGTTTTCGATAATATCTTTGCTTTGTCAATTCTTAGCATTCTCAGCAACTATTATTATTATTATCTGAATATCAATCATACATTTTCATGAGCAACGATGATAACATAATTATGATAACATTTTCTTGTCTGTTATTAAATTATCAATGAGTTTGCCTTGATTATCAACATGAAATTGAATCAATTCCTAATTTGATAATAATAACAATGAAGAGGAATATAAATAAAATTAGATTAGATTTAGATGAATCTGAATTAGTGAGAGTTATCAAATTAATCTATTAATAAGTTTATTAATATTTAGAAACTTTTTTTTCATTCGACAAATTAATTTAATTAATTCCTCGATCTAATTTGAACTAATTTAATCCATTGAAAGTTGTTTAGCTTTAATTATCGTTGAACAATTTGAGCAAATTTTTTTTTTCAGTAAAAGATATTAATTATTATCATAATATTACTTGGATAGGGGACTAATTATAGTTAGCTAATTAGCAGAAGCATTTTTTTTATTGAAACATTGTTTGGTTTGTGTTAATTAGATTAACCAATTGAATAATTAACACTTGATTCTGATGATGATAATAATAATTAATGGGAAGGAGGAATTAAAATTAAATCAATAATTTGTTTCAATGGTTTCAAAGTTTAATTTACCTTTGGGGTTAAATTGAATCTGTAAATGTTGAACTAATTTTACTAATTGTTGTTTACCTTTTTCGTTTAATTTAATCATCCATTTGATTGTAGAAGCTAAATCAGAGATATTGGGAGGACCATCAACCTATTATCAATCAAAGGATACAATTAATTTAACCTGTATAATTAATCAAACAGCATCACCACCAATGTTTGTTTACTGGTTTAAGGATAATCAAGTTTTAGGCTTTCAAAGTCAAACTGTTAATCCATCAGATTCACGGGTTAAAGTGTCAACAATTAAAGGTCCAATTACGATTAGTACACTTGAAATTCATAATTCCCGTTCATCTGATTCTGGTAATTATTCTTGCCGACCAGTACCACAATACGCTGATCCGGCCAACATAACGGTAAATGTGCTTAATGGTGATAATCCAGCGGCGATGCAACATTCAAATCATTTTTATAAATCAAATCAACAATTTAATCAACATACACTTCTAATGGTTGGTTTAATCAGCTCAAGTTGTACTTGGTGGTATTGGATCACATTTCATGGTGTTTTCAGTTGATTCATTTGCAATTATATCATCAACATCATCAACAAAATACCAGCTAGTTAATACTAAATGATGATGATCATCATCATCATCATGAACATAAACATGGTCATTATTATGATTCACAAGGAATCTTGTTATTATGGTGATAATGATGATCATTATTAGGCATCGTCATCAAAATGATTATGATGATGATTAAGGAAGAGGTAAAAATAACTGATAAATTGTATTGGTCATCTTGGAAACTTATATGATGATGATGGCCAGTATTCAGCTTCCAACTCGAATAAATTGTTTCGTATATAAAAGTGACCTCTACATAATTATTAGATCTTATTGGAAGATGGCAATTTTTTTATCTTCATCATCATCATCCTCGAAATTTGCTCCAAATTGTTATCATTTCTTTTTCATTTTTCTTCCTTGAATTATGATAACTTTCAATTCCCGATTCTCGATTCCGATATCTTCCACTGGCCATGGTCACTTCATCATCTGATCAACTTGTATTCTCTAAACCTTCAGGGCTTATTGACTTTTTTTTATATACTTTGACTTGAAATTTTTCCTCATGATGATGATGATTATTAACTGGACTTGGTGATGGTCAATCTTCAGGATGATGATCAAAATAATGATGAACTTTTTTTTTCCTTCTCCATGTTGGTGGGGAAAAAAAGGAATTAATTTACTCTGTGCCTTTTAAATCAACAATTTTCTGTCTACTTAAAGATTAATTAACAATTTAAATGTAAAATTATAAATATAAATCAACTAATTAATGAATAATTAATTGATAATCCATTGGAAATTCATTTGTATTTGATAACAATTAATGATTCATTTGATAGTGAAAATTTTGGCAAAAATTGGCAAAATCATTTGTCTCTAAGCAATTGTAATCTTCTAATTGTAAAATAACAATTAATCAATGAAGAAAACATCTCACAATAAATGATTAAACTTTTTACTTAATTAACATTTTGTTCAATAATTTTTTATTTATCAAACGAAATTCAACTCAGATTAAAAATCGATTTTTAGTTCGATTAATAGTTTGTTTTCTTTTTCTTAAATCGATTTGAACGCCTGGTCATTTATTCAGTTTAATTTTAGTTTTGATTTTCATTCTTGTGATTAATTGTTACTCTTTTATGTTTAATAGAAATTTTCTTAATCGAACTTGTTTTATCGGCTACTACAATCAACGGTGTTCCATCAAAATGTCCAACAATCCAGAGCCCAAAGTGATCAGTATCTCACCAATTGGCTCTTCTGGATCAGCTTATCTTAAACCGATCAGATTAAATTATACACTTGTAAGTAGATTTAATTGTTTTGTTGGTTAATTAATTGATGTAATTGTTTCTGTTTTAATCAATTTTTTAGGATGGTAACAAACAATTAGCTTGGGATTGTGTCAAAGCTCATGACAGTGTTGGAATCATATTGTTTAATAAGGATAGAAAAAAATTAATTTATGTTAAGCAATTTAGACCTTCATTGATTATCTCATCAGCGAAAAATTTTGACCTGGAAAAGGGGACAATTGAAGTTGACCCAGCAATTAATGGATACACTTTGGAAATGTGTGCCGGGATCATTGATAAACCAGGTAATTAGTTGATACAATTTTGAAAATAATCGGTCTTTAAAATGATGAATTCTGTTAATAAATTTTGTTTGTTTTGGTTTTTTTTTGTCTTTAGGTTTAACCATTGAACAAATTGCCAAGGAAGAGGTTCTTGAGGAAACGGGTTATGATATTCCCGTTAGGTTAGATTTTTGATTAATTCGCAATAATCAATCTATTATCTATTGGTTAATCAATAACTGATTATATTCTTATTTCTCTTTTTTATTTAGTTCTCTTCAATTTGTCTGTTCGTCACGTTCCAGTGTTGGATTACAGGCTTCACTTCATGCTATTTATTTCGCCGAAGTCACGTGAGATTTTTTTCTCTTTCTTTCTCTCTCTCATTAATTAAACCCAAGTGATTATCGTGTTTAGCTTTAATTGGCTCTAATTACAAGAATTTCTTTACACTTTCTATTTTACCTTTTCCAGTGATTCACAACAAAAAACACTCGGAGGTGGAATAGACAATGAAAGAATTGAAGTTGTTGAGTAAGTTAATTGATTTGGAAAATTTTCTTTTCTTTTTTCTTTGAAATTTAATTCGTTTAAACCAATTCATTCTCTCATTTTCTTAAACTATTAGGTTAACAATTGAAGAATCAAGGAAATTACTTTGGTGCCATGATCGGGATTCACCTTATTCACGACCTGCTCATATGCTTTTAGGCTTATCCTGGTTTCTTCTTGAACATTATCCCAAAAACTATTCATCATAATTATAAGATTAACAGATGAAGTTCAATTACTAAAATCAATTCAACAACTTTAATGATTTTGATTTTCTGATGAGCACTTGACCATTTATTTTAAACAGAAACATTTAGCTTAAAATTTTACTTGAATATTTTCAAATACCGTTAATTGTTTACCATGATTAAAACAAATTCCTAATCAATTTGATTCAAAAGATTCACTTTAACTCTTGAAACTAATTCCAATTTTCGGGAAAATCGAAAATCGATTTCGTTTCATTTTTAAAATCGATCTTTGGTTCGATTATTCTCAACAAGGTCAACACAAACTGTCAACAAACTGTTTTCCTTTTCAATTGATTTTCCTGTTTAAATTAGTTAATTAAAATGACCTGTGATGACAAAAGCTCAGGGGATAAACCCTGTTGTAAAGGTAAACAAGCTAAATTGGTGACCATCGATCAGGTAAGTTACCTAAAAATTACGATTTAATTTCAATTGATGTTGATTTTGATTTTGTTTCTCTCCTTCGGTTGTTTTTGATTTGATTTTTTTAATTTCTTTCTCCAATTTAGTTACCTTTATATGGTAATCCATACCCACCAATGGATAAAATAGAAACTGGTGAACGAGGAATGATTGAAGAAGGAATTGGAACCGTTCGAGTTGCTATAATGGAGAATCTTAAATTTCTTGATGGTTTCACTGGTCGAGCAAAGGAAATTTTTGAAACAGCCAAAGCTCATTCAATGACCACACTTGATTATATTACCGATGAAACCAACACTGTGCCCAAAGCATTGGCAATTACTGGCAGCGGATTATTTGGCCTTCTTTTAGCATCTAGACGAGGTTTCTTCAAGAAATTACTCTACACATCAGCTGGTGTTGGAATCGCTACCGGAGTTTGTTATCCAAAACAATCGGAAGACATTTTAGATTTAGCTGGTTATGTTGTTAAAACTAATTACGAGAAAATTGTTGCAGCAGCGAAATCATCATCTGAATCACCTCCTTCCAAAGAGAATTAGTTCCAATCAAATTTCCAGAACAATTAACAACAATCAATCACTTTAAATCTCAAGCAAACTACAACAATAACAAAATGATGAGATGTTAATACAAGTAGAAAAGCTTAAAGATTAACCAATCATCTCGATTTTGTGTAAATTCAGTTAAAAAAAATATTTCGTTTACAATAATTGTAATCAACCGATTGTGTAAAAATTAAAGGAAAACTAAATTTAATTGAAATTTATTCTCATGTTTCAGTTTACCAGAATTGACCCAAATTCACTTTTAATTCAACAACGAAAACAAAACATTATTAACCACTAGAATAAATTGTGATCTAAGTGGAAAATTATTTATTCTAAATTTCCATTTCCACCAATTAACTAATTAACTAATTCACTCGGTTGATTAACCCAAATGATTAAAACGAAATTACCGCTCAATTTGTTTCTTCGCTTCTCCATAGATGGAGCTGTTTATTTTCTTCCGGTTCCGTTGAAAGAAAATTTTTCTTGGTTAAATTGAATCGGTTATTTTTGGTAATTAAATTAATTTAGTTTTTGTTTTCTAAATTGTTCTCTTTTTAGTTAACAAAGTTAATTTAATTATTTAGGATGGCTAAGTCAAAGAATCACACCAATCACAATCAAAGTAAGTTCTTAAATCTTATATTAATTGTTATTCAAAATCTTGATTCTATTTTGTGTTCTTTATTAACTAAATGTCTTTTTTTTCTTTTGGTTGTTTTCTCATTTGATTGTTTTCCTGTTTTTTTGCCTTGGTGTTTTAACTTGTAGATCGTAAAGATCACAGAAATGGTATCAAAAAGCCCAAACGATTCAGAAAGGAATCAATGAAAGGAGTATGTTGATGATTTGGATTCTTTTTTCAACTCTTTTTCTACATGTGGTTTTCTGTTTGTATTAACTGTGGATTTTGTTCTTTTTTCTCTTATTCTTTTTCTCTCTCAGGTTTGCCAAAAACTTCTTCGTAATCTTAGGTACGCTCGTAATAAGAATAAGACAAAAGCTGAACTTGCAGCTATTCGTTTAAAGAGAGGAATCGATCAACCTAAGCAGAAAACAGTAGTTAAAACCGTGGCACCAACACAGGCTGTTCCAGCTAAAGCATAGATTGTTTTCAATATTTCTTCTGAATCTTTACACAAACTGTAAAACACCAAAATATAAATTAATTTTCTCGATTCGTAAAATAAATCACTATGATTCGAGAATGTTATACCTTTTTTTCATTCTAAATTTATTTCCGTTATCGTCGATTAAATGAAAACAAACTTACCGCGATTCTTTTCTCTTTATCCCCTTACCCCACCAGATGTCACTCTCTCCGAATTTCCTGTTCCGTTGAGTTGAATCATTTGCCATTTTCTTTGTTTCCAAAACAATTTGTTTTCCTTTATTTGGTTATCAACTTTTACTTTCAATTTTCTAACAATTGGAATTTAATTAGCTTTTCGATGATGAAGTATAAAATTTTGATCCATTTAACTCTTAAGTAAATTGTTGTGATTCTGTGGTCATGGGATTGTGTATCTGTCGTGATTGGCTTCTTAAGGAACGAAGCTCATTTACACCTGTCAGAGATTCTGATGAGCGCGCCAACCCTAAAGGGGATCGTTTCTTTCCTTTTAGGTCTTCCCTTCCGACAACCACCACCGCCACTGTCTGTACAACATCTCAAGTGAACACTAGCCAGCCCATTGAGAGAATTAATTCCAATAATCATGCTACAGTTGATGAAGACCGTAGTCTTGGTGGGGAAATTTCCTATAATAAGATCTCAGTGAGAGAGCCGTTGTCAAAGGTATTGGCGGAACGAGCCATTCTTGAGCATCATTATAATGAGGTTGACGGGGAAGGGGAGTCATGTTTTTATGAAGAAATCGCTGGTGCCACAAACACTTCTGTCACATCGACCATTGATGATGGTAAATTGGGAAGACAGTCAAGTGATGAAGCGGATGTAATAACTGACCCTGGTTATGAGGTTGTCAATTTTCATCAGCATAAAAGTGAACCTTGTTACGCTGTTATAGATAAAAGCCTTAACAATTCTGGTGATGATGAAGTTGAATCAGCAGTTATCTCCGTCCAAGGGAAATCTATTGAAAGAAGACAATCGGATGATGAAGATTATTCAACAGCTGATCCTGGTTATGAAGTTGTCAATTTCCATCAACAAACAAGTGAACCATGTTATGCAGTTATAGATAAAAGCGTCAATAGTTCTGGAGATGGTGAGATTGGTTCTGCTATAGTTTCAGTTGCAGGAAAACCAATTGATAGAAGGCCTGTGATGATGAAGATTATTCAACAGCTGATCCTGGTTATGAGGTTGTCAATTTTCATCAGAAAAAGAGTGAGCCCTGTTATGCAGTTATAGATAAAAATGTCAACAATTCAGGGGATAGTGAAACTGGATCAGCAATTATATCCGTTCCTGGTAAACCAATGGAAAGGAGACAATCAGATGATGAAGACTACTTAATAGCTGATCCTGGTTACGAAGTAATTAATTCTCAGAAAAGTGAGCCCTGTTATGCAGTTATTGATAAGAACATCAATCGACCAGAAGTTAATAGACCTTCGAAGTCACCGGTCACTTCACCTGTACATATTGTTAAAGTAACTCGACAGTCGACTGATGATGATGAAGATTCAATCGCTGACCCTGGTTACGAAGTGATCAACGCCCATCAACAAAAAAGTGAACCTTGTTATGCTGTTATTGATAAAAATCCTAATACAAGTTCAAGTGCAAATCAAACCTCAATTACAACTACTAGACCTTTAAATTCATCGAATGTCTCTACTGTACATAGAATTAAAGTTACGCGACAATCGACGGAAGATGATTATGATGATGATGCATTTGCTGATCCAGGCTATGAAGTAATCAATTCTCATCAATCTAAAGGTGAACCATGTTATGCGGTCATCGATAAAATTACAAACAGTTCTGGTCCAAATTCAATTGGTGGACCTTCAAAATCATCATCGATTTCTCCAAATGTACAGATAGAAAAGTTAATAAGACAATCGACCGATGATGATGACGATTTATTTGCTGATCCCGGTTATGAAGTAATCAACAATCACCATAAGAAAAGTGAACCTTGTTGATTGTTATTTCAAACAAAAACATTATAAATTGTCAACTGTTCTGTATTTTTGGTTTTGCATCGAGCTTTAATCATCAATAACAACGTTTCGGATACAATATGTTGTGATCATGAGGCCAACTTTAAATCATAACCGAACTTTTTTGTATAATTATCTTTTACACATCATTTTTTTCTAAATCCAATCTAACGGATTAATGTTTGCTATCAAAAATGATTATTCATGCATATAAATTGTATCATTCATCTTTTTTTTGTCACAATTTTTGGTTGTTTGTAATTTTTTTTGTATTTATTTGGGTGTTTGTTTGAATCAGGACAATATTAATGGTTGATGATGATCCCAGAGAGATAGAAGGAAAAACATAAGACTAGTGAAGTAACAATTTATGTTTGCTTGATGTTGGTGTGCAAAAAGTGTTGAAAAGAGAAAATGAAGAGAAAGTAGAAGAAGAAAAGTGGAAGAAGATGACAAGAAGATATTACATGTATTCAGAGTTAATCTCTGTCCCATTGTAACGTCAATAGTTTAGAGGACAAAGAAGAAAAGAGAAATCAGTGAATTGGTGAGATACTGATGATACATGTTAATGATGATGGTGGTGATGATGTCGATGAAGACCTAACATAGTAAGTAAAGAGAGAGAGAGAGAGAGAGAGAGGGAAGGAGGGAGATGAAGATAACACAGGATTAAAGGAGTGAAACTTAATTCTTGACATCCCAAGGAGCAATTTAACAATTTGTAATAATACAATAAAACTCCTTCAAAATAAAACTTTTCAGAAAAAAACACAATCATCTTCAAACAGATAATGAAATCAGTGAATTATAATGTTCCATATTGCGTTTGAGAATATCCGAACAAGGTCCAAGGAGCCTTTCGAATCGAGCTCGATCAAGTTTGACACATTTTAGTGGTCCACTGGCAACTACGGTAGCAGCTCGAGGTCGATCCAAAAGTAAAGCGATCTCACCGAAATACTTTCCTGGTCCAAGCCTACTCACTTCGGTTTGGGGTTCATTGTCTACTCGACGTTGGTACACAATCGCTGTACCATCTTCAATAATGTAGAAATCATCTCCAGGTTGACCTTGTTCAACGATAACTTCACCGTCAGTATAAATTACTGGTTGCAGAGCATCAGCTATGGTCAATTTTTCCCATTTATCAAGACTCTCTGTTCCGATCATCATAGTAGGTGGTGATTCAACAAAAGTTCACCGGTTGATTAAAGATGAAATAGTGATTGATGGAATAATCAAATACGATGATTATTTAAAAGTGACCATGGCGATGATGATGATTGTTTGATGTGAAGGTGAAATGAAAAATAAAGATAAGAACAATTAAAACAATAGAACAAATCAAAAAAATTAAACACTCTCATATTTTATATCTTTCATCATTTAAGTATCGTTTTTTCCTGCTGTTTATCATCATCATTTTTTCATTCTTTCTGATAACTTACCAAACAGGGAAATCTTGTTCAAGAATTCTTCGTACAATTTCCTCTTTCTAATAGTACTTCCCATAAGGATACGTCGATATGTGTCTCTATCAATGGCCCATAATTTACAATCTACTTTGGCTCTGACTGTAGCTGCTCTTGGTGTTCCATAGATAAGAGCTAATTCACCAAAGCTTCCGCCTTCAATGATGGTTATTACTAGGTTATTGTTGACAAATACCTAAGAAGGAAAGATAAATTAAATAAGAGAGAAAATGTTACATCAATAAAAGCCAAAGACATCGATGATGTTACGAAAAAAAACTTAAGGTAACTATGGAAGTGAAAAGTAATGGAAAGGAAAAATATTGAGTAATATGATTTTTTGACCTGAATCAATGAGTAAAAGTCAAAATCTGAAATCATGTAGAGAAAATCGCATCTGAATAAAATCAATCAGTTGGATTTTAAGGAGAAATAAAACTTTCAAAGAGAAAAGAATAAACTAAACGACGGAAGAGAAAAGAAATTGGTATGGAAATGGATTGGAGAATAATCAGAATAGGGAGAGAGGGGAAGAAAAGAAGAAGAGAATTGAAGATGAATGTGATTACAGTAAACAAAAAGAGAAAGAGAAAGAGAGAGGGCATGAGAAAAGAGAATTAGAAAGACAGAGAAAGGAAATAAAAAAGACAGAAAAGAGAAGAAGAAAAATAAGAGTGAGACTGAGACGTCCTTGGATAATCATGGTTGTTTTTGGTGGAAAGAAAGAGAAAAGGAAAGAGATAAATAGAGGGAGAGAGAGAGAGAGAGAGAGAGAAAGATGCAACATTGAAGGTAAGAAATATCTCATTGGAGCTTTATAAACACAAGTACACAACACAATCCACAATGCAAATGGTACTTAATCTCTCAATTAAATTAATTGATTCCAATCAATTTACCTCGACTTCACCCTCATCAATGATATAAAAATTGTCTCCTTCATCTCCTTGTTTAATTATGATTTCATCTTGTTTATGAACAACAGGAAACATCGCATCAAATATTTCGCTTCTCTCTCCTTCATCCAGATGCTTAAAAAGTACATTCTTTTCAATGGCTTTTGAGAGAGCAGCCATTGTTTTGTAGTCTTTGGGAACAACCTGGTTGATAGTGTTGATAATCATGATGATGGTGATAATTTTGACGGCGGTATGGAGATGATGATCGTCATGATGATATGTTGATATTATCGATGAATGAACCATGAAGGAGAAATACAAGTGAAGAGAGAAAAGCAAAAAAAAGTGAAAAGAGAAAGAGAAAGAGAAAAGAGAAAAAAGAAAGTTACAATTAATGATGTGGTGGTAGTTAAATGGAATAAATGTCAACTAGAAAATAACAATTAAAGAAACAAAAAGAATCAAATCAAAGACAAATTAATAACGTTAATCAGGTCAAATTAGAGGACGAATATTTCACTAAACAGAGAAAGATATGTTTAGATGAGCAAATTCGTTGAAAAAATGAAAATGAAATTATCATTTTTCTCTTCTCTTGTATTATTATTCAGCTTGATGACCGGAGATGATTAATGATCAATGAATAGACAATCAGGAACACAATTAAATATTATTCTTTTATAGTGATAGCCTTGCTTGTTTCTTTCTCTGTTTTCATTAAGATGAGTGTTTATAAAGATAGAGAGGGAGATATTTCTCTGGGTATTAACCATGTTAACAGTTCCAACCTTTTTAACATAAGTTGTAGCATCTTCTTCAGAATATGTTTCAGCGCTTACAGCACCACGTCGAGTCCTTTGAGCAATTGTTGGGACTGGGGATACATCGTCTTCCCTTTCATCACCGGGAGGTGAGATTGGTGCTTTATTCTGTTGCTGCTGTTGACGGTGAAGAATTGATTCCTCCTGTGATGATAACAATCCGATAGAAGATGAGGTTGAAACAGAAGATGTAGATGCAGATGGAATTTTACATTTAGAATATTGGCCGTCCATGATTAAGAGGGAAAGAGAGAAAGAGAGAGAGAGAGAAATGATTATTTATACACAGAATATAAAAGAGAATAGAATTGTAACAACGAAAGAGGAAAGGAAAGAGAAGAGAAGAAAGAGAAACCAGAAAATGGTGGTTGGTATTAAGGTTAGTTAATAATTGAATGTATGTAAGGTACTGATAGAGAGAAATGAAAGAGAGATAGAGAGAGAGAGAGAAAGTGGAAGTTGTGGTTTTGTATGGTTAGAGATTGGAAGAGAGAGAGAGAGAGAAGGAGAAAGAGAGACAAGGTGAGATGAGATGAGAAAAAGAGAGACACATATAAATATTGATGATGGCGATGATGATGAGGTTAAATTAATGAGAAATAATTAAAACAGAATATTAAATAAAATAGAAAAAAAAACAAGAGCAAAAAAAGAAAATAAGAGAAAAATTAACCAATGTAACTAAACATTGGATACCCTGTTTATTTGGGTAACAGGGTCAACTGAATAGTTAGAAAGCTAAATGGTATTTCTTACATAGAAAATGAAATATTGAAACAGAGGAAGATAAGAAAGAGAAAAAGAAAGAGAAGATTTTTCATCTTCTTCAGTAGATTGAGAAAAAAATAAGGTTAACTTTTGGCAACATAAACCATTTTTTTTCCTCTAACATCTTAACATTAATGAAGATAATAATGTAAGAGAAGATGATATTTTCTGTCTTTCTTTTGGGTTCCAAACTCTTGTTTCCTTCATGTTCTCTCTTTCTTACATTATTTTCATAGTTGTCTCAAAGTATTGGTCCTCTAATTATGTACCAATAGAAGAAAAAAGAAAGAAAGGAAGAGAGAGAGAGAGAATCTTGAAAATAGAAAAGGGAGAGACACACAGTATATATGAAGAGAATTTTGGGTTATTTTATCGACAGAGAAAAAAGACAGAGAGAAATTTTGAAAAATGGGAGAATAGAAGAAAAAAAAGGAAAGAAATTAATCAGAGAATAAGAGGAATAGGAAGAGAAAGAGAAGAGAAAAGAAAATGGGTGAAAGAGAGAGAAACAAAATACTGACCTTTTCCAATTTTTGGAAATATTCTCGGAGAAATTTAATTGGATTCTCTGGACGAGATACACATAAACTAACGATACATTCTTTCAGAATTCCTTGGATATTATGTCGCTGAACATAAGCCTCACACTCTCGGCGACTTGCTTCCTCTTCCATCATGTAAATATCAGAGAAAGTGAGAGAGAGATGAAAACACGAACAATAATCAACAATATTAGAATATGAGCTTTTTATTTTTCTTCATATCAACAACTACGTTTCCATCTCACCCTCTCTCTCTCTCTCTTTCTTTCTCTTTCTCTCTTTCGACCTTTCTGTCTGCAATATTTTCTCCTTTCTTTTCTTCTCTTACATTTACATTCTATTCTTTTATTCAATTTCTTTCTATTTTCCTGTCTTCCTTTTAATTCTCTTTCTTCCTTCTCTCTCAATCTCTCTCATGCTTCTGCTCAATTATTTTATCTCCATGATTATCCAGTTACTCTTGAGAATTTATTCTTTCCCTTTCTCTCTCTCTCTCTCTTTCTCTTTGGCTCCGAGTTTGAATCAACAGTTTCGTTGAAAATCAATCAATAAATCGTTGAGCTGATTAGTTTTTTTCTTCTTCTTCTTTTAAATTGTGATCGTTTACTTGATTAATTTTCTTAAATTGAGTTTTCAGTTAATCAGATTTTTAACCTTTCCAATTTTTCTTGATTCTCTTTTGTTTACACATTAATTAGTTTTTCTCTTAATTGTTTACTTTAAATTGTAATTTTGTTAA